ATACATATACACTTACCAGCAGGAAAAGAAGGTGGTTGGCGGCCGGAAACTTTTTTATAAAAATTAATTTTTTTAAAATTAACCGGTTTTTCTTGAAATTTTTGAAATTTTCGATTTCCGGCGGACAATCCGCCTGTAAGCCACTGGTTTTTTTAGTTTATTTTTATTATTATTATGATTATTATTATTATTATTACTATTTTTTGTTGCATAATTATTATTGTGTTTGTTTTGGAACACCCTCTAAGAAGAAAACCGAGTAGGATATAAGTTTATTTGTATCGTCGAACTCCTTCGTAATTGCATTTATAATTGTCACCCTATTTACTATTATTACCGCCTTTATAACCGCCATCATACAACTGCAACCCCCTCCCCCATTTTGATATCAGAGCTTTACGTTATGATCAAAATTTTTTGTTGTGTCTAGATAAGCTTTTATTATTTTTAAAATCCGCCTAGTTACGTATTGTTTTTTTTTTCCATCTACCAACATGTTTTTTTTTTTTTTAATTTCTTCCTAGTTAAGTTTAAGATTTGTGTTGTAAAATTATTGTTGTGTTTATTTGTTGCATAATTATTATTGTGTTTGTTTGTTAGTGTTTTTGTGATTAAAAAACAAAAAATATTTTTTCTTGTTTTGTTTTATCCTAGAATTTTAGTGTTTAAATTTTTACTGTATCATTTTTTAGTGTGTTTAATCAGTATTTCCTCTTTATCTGTTAGTCTTTTTAATATCTGTTTTTGCTATATTTTATAAGAAATATAAAAAACAAAAATTTGGTTTATCCTCATTTTTCTGATTCACAAATGACAAAAGTTTTAGACATTTTTTCGAAAAATACTCTCAGACAGTTGTTCAAAAAATAATTTACATTCATACACTTTCAATTAATTTGCAATAAGACTTGCAAAATTATTTTTCCTWAAGAACCAAAAAGTGTTTTTAAATGATAAAGAACTTTTTAATTTAGAAGACCAACTGTATTTGTCAAAACAGCTTTCTGATCAAGAATACATTTTTTATGATAAACGCAACAATGTTAGAGTCGGTTTATTACATGATAGCTTCACATCCATTTATAATACTATAGAAAAAACCCTAAATCCATACTGTAACCATGATTTAGACCTTTTCAATTTAGAAGAGGTTGCTTGTGATCATGATTGGCAAAAATATACTGGAACTGATAATATTCCTTGTTTGCWATTTTTTTCCACATAATAGACTAAGAGCAAAGTGTTTAAATTGCCATATAGAAGCCTGCATAAAATGTCTAGAAAAGAAAGAATAAAAATAGAACCGGATTATATAAATGTTGCCAGAGATCTTGATAAACAAGAAATCAGAGTCTTAAAAAAAGAATAGAAAGCGTTGAAGATATGGTAAWACTTTTTCAAAAGAAAATAGACATTTTTGAAAGAGTAGTAAAGGGAAAAAACACCATAGACCAAAATAAAGACCTGATTCAACAAGACTATGTGCAAGTTGTTTGTAATTCTGATAATTTAAAATCATTAAAAGTAAAATGCAAAATTTGAATTGATGGTTTGTTATCAACTGTCTTGCATTAGTTGATTCTTGTTGTTCTAATTGCATCTTAAACAAATCATTGCTTCCTTCTAGATATATTGTTAAATCAGACTCACCAATAGATGCCCAACAAATGGATGGTGAAATTTAYTCTTATAAAGAAATGTTGAGACCAAATAGTAAAGTTAGTTTCGAGACCAACTGTGGTTTTTGCAAAGAATATACTCTATCTCCTAAAAATACTTTTGTTAGGGTGTTAAACCTTACCAATATAGACTTTATTCTCGTATTAATTTTTTTTATTAAAAGACGATGGTAGCGTCACTTTAACTAACGAATTTTACATTTTCACAAGCATACMTTTTTCACTCCTGCCATCACTACTCATTTTCCTTCAAAAACAGACAAGCATAATGCTCCAATTTTTGAAAAACCCTGCAAAYTCAAGAAAGAAAGAGAGTGTCAGCTCAACGAAGAAGAGTTAGACGACTATTTAGACGAATTTTTAAATTATGATGAAAACCATTTTATAGATTATGATCTAGACTTTGTTAGWAGTGAAAAGTTATACACAACTTTAGTAACAAATTCTGATATCGATAACCTTGTCTCTTTATTAGAGAAAATAGGAATAATTGGAAAAGACATCATCAAATATTGGGAAAGTTTTATGTGAGTTAAAAATTAAAAATCCCGAATATGWGATAAAGACTAGCAATATAGAGCCAACCAATGACGAAAGAAAAATTTTTAAAATGCATATTTCATAATTGATCAAATTAGGCGTTATTAAAAAAATCTGATAATCCCATAGATTAGCCGCTTTTATTGTTAAAAATCATTCTGAAATATTTAGAGGAAAGACTTGTGTGGTCATAAATTATAAAAAACTGAATGATAATACAATTGACGATGCATATAATATTCCTAATAAGACTGCTTTAATCAACAAGATTCAAAATTGCAAAACTTTTAGTAAATTTGATTTGAAATCAGGATTTTGGCAAGTCAAAGTGCATCAAGATAGCATAAAATGGATGACTTTTACTTGTCTAGGAGGTCATTTTGAATGGTTACTCATGCTATTTGGGCTAAAGAACGCCCCGAGTATATTTCAAAGAAAAATGGAAGACATTTTTAATAAACATAACAATTTTGTGGCCATTTGTATAGATGACATTTTGGTTTTCAGTAAAAATAAAAAAGACCATAAAGGCCATTTGCAAATCGTTTTTTCAGAATTTATAAGATATGGTTTAATTTTGAGTAAAAAGAAAATGCAGTTATTTCGTGAATATATAGACTTTTTGGGAGTAAATATTGGAAAAGGAAAAATAACTTTACAGCCTCACATTGCTCAAAAAGCTCTTGATTTTCCAGATAAATTAGAAGATTTAAAACAGTTGCAAAAGTTTTTATAACTGATAAATTATGTTAGACCTTTTATAAAAAATCTAGGGAAAATTGTTGGTCCTTTATATGTAAAAACCTCTCCAAATGGGCAAAAATATTTTAATCAAAAAGATGTYAAGTTGTGCAACAATTGAAAAATGAGATCAAATTTTTAYCCGAACTTGCTTTACCTCTTGATATAAGATTATTTGATAATTGAGACTGATGGTTGTAGTAAAGGTTGGGGAGCTATCCTTTTATGTAAACCTCATAAATATGCATACCAGATTTCCGAAAAAATCTGTCGTTATAGCAGCGACATTTATAAAGAAAAGGGTAACATTAGTAGTATAGATGCAGAATTGTTAGCCATAAATTACGCTTTAGATAGTTTTGAGTTTTTTATCATATCGAAAAAAGAAATTACTATTAGAACAGACTGTAAAGCAATTGTCTATTTCTACAATAAAATGAGAGGTGAAAGCAAAAGAAGTAGCCGGAGACGTTGGTTAAAKTTTTTAGATWGAATCAATAATACTAGTTTAATTATAAAAATAAAGCACATTAAAGGTAGTGATAATAAAGCTGCAGATATTCTCAGTCAATTATTGGAAAATAAAAATAATTAATGTAATTTTTATTTTTTTGCAGATATCTAGACCCCCTCCAAGACTAGGAATTCCTTCGGGAAATAATCCTACAACAAGACCAATAATTAATCAGACTTTTATTAGCCAGAGTAGACCTAATTTTCAAGAACGTCTTAGATTTGGAAAATAACGATCCTTTCTTCATGAATTATATAGAACCCCCTCTAGACTTTTATGTTACCCAAGATCCTAGCCATACTCATACCATATTTTGTGATCATTATGAAACCATGTCCAAATTTTTTAAAATCATCAATGATGACAATACGCAGCTCATAAACGAGAAACTTGTTCTTCAAAAACAAGTCTCAATGCTTGAGAGACAAATTCTTTCTTTTCCTCTCAACCAGAACAAAGGCTCATCTTCTGGCCCTATACAGAAGATTAAAATGGGTGGACACTTTCCAATGAATGTCAATAAAGGTATCATTGAACCTAAAAATTAAATGGATAGTCCAGCTCCATCGGTGGTTGGTAAAGACTTATCAAGTGAGACAACGAGCTACAAAGTCGGCGATATCTTGCTTCATTCCAATCCACCAGAAATGGTTCCTCAAATCACGATACATTTTTGTTGTGCCAGGATGAACCGTAAAAACATAGAGTTATGAGCTTCGGTAAGAATTAGATCTCTAAACTCCAAGTTATTCGGAACACAAAGACGATCCTGAAACCACAACACGTGATCATCATCAATTCTGAACTCTGAAGTAGAATTCTCTTGTGCCTGCTGGAATTTGCCCATAATTCACTATCATCTTGTTGGGCTTCTTTGACATGAGAGATTAGAGTCGGTTCCACCATTAGATTCGATAGAATTTCCGTTTGCCAACTCAGATAGATTTCTAATGCAAAATGATCGATTTCCAAATACA